TCCTGCCTCGTTTGTAACTTTACATTTATAAATTCCTTCATCATTTTTATTGCAGTCCATTATAGTCAGTGAAGGACAATCAAAAGTTCCTCCTGAGTATTTTTCTGAAGATAAGTCCAGTGCTTTCTCTTCGCCATTTTTTACTTTTATCCACGAAATTATTGGTTGTGGGATTCCGGAAACAGAACATGTTAATGTTTGAGCATTCCCGTTGACAACACTCTGTCGATCAGGAGAAATTTTGACCATTGGTAGTTCTATTATAAAAACAACAAACAATTTCATTAGAATACATTTCAACACATTTTTCTTTCGAAATTTGCTGAAAAGGTGTAACCGAAAACGCTATATTTTTACAGTAAATCTTTGAATTAATGGTAATTTTGTATTCTAAAATTTCAAACAAATTTGAATAAATTACATTATTGCTTAATTAAAGAAATAACAAATGTAAACCAATATAAATCAAGCCAAGAATCGTTTTGTTTTCCTTTGCAATAATCAATGACAAATAGCACGTCTAGTAAACGTTCCAAATTTCAGACTTTTACCATAGTTATGAGTAAATTTACACTTCTTTTTTTAGAACAAAACTAATTAGAGGTACCACTTATTTTGTGGACATGACATTCATCAGTGGCACTTGAATCAAAACAATTGGAAAGAAAAACAATTTAAAAGTTGTAAAGCATTGCTAACCAAACATTCCTAAATGGAGCTAAATCTGCATTAGGTAGGTTATTTTTCCCTTGAGACATTATAATCTAAGAATTAAAAAAGATACATAGTGAGTGATGAAAATAAAAGTTAGATATAATGACCTTACACCGCCTTATAAATTGCATATCAAACAGTATCTACATTTTGTCTTGCATGTTGCAACATTTACACAATGTCTTGAACTCTGATTCCGTTTGCACACGTTAAATGCATCATAGTTATTGAAATCCAAGCTGTTTTTCTCTCCTGAATATGCATTTAGCTGATACTGGGCCCTTTTCTAATTTAGTTTCTAAGCTTCGATCTCCTGATAAATGCATATGGGTCAAAATACGCAATTCATTTCAGGTAGGCTATAATGGTAGTCTTTTCATCCATTTCCTCTGTCCATGTATATAGTAAACCTGGATATGTACGATGGCTCGTTTCGATGCTTAGACATTCCCACACATGTGGTTAAGTCTTTGGAGTACAGATGGTGATTAATATTTTCACAAATTGGGAATCCCGAAAGGCCCCATGTGACGCCGCTTAAACAAATAGAATTCTCCTTTTTTCACACATTTAATTCATTGAAAAGTCAGTTATTACAAACATTATATAGCTCCAAAGCTTTTTTTGTCTTTATTGCACTATATGTTGCTCTTCAAATAGCATAAATGGTTAAGATCAGTCAATCACTAAACAAACCATCATGTCCAACATCAATGAGTATATGTCTTGTTTTTATTTCTATTACTAGTTGGAGGCGCATTAGGGCGATTGAACCAGAGATAGACAGACCGTTTGAAATTTATTCTGCACAATCTCAAACTACGTGATTAATTTCTTAACAATATGCTAATTATTTATTTTTAGATATATGTAAATGTACCTCTACATTACAGCCGTGTCGGGTAAATGCTGCAAGAAATTTAAGTTATTATTGGGCAAAATACTGACTCAAGATTATCTTATTCTAGTATGTTATTGAATTATGCTATATACTAGTATGTGCATGAATATTGCTTACCGGTGTATGTAAGGTATGATGAATTGCTCAATGTTTCTCCTGCTTCGTTTGTAACTTTACATTTATAAATTCCTTCGTCATTTTTGTTGAAATCAATTATAGTCAATGAAGGACATGCAACAGTTCCACCTGAGTATTTTTCTACAGATAAATTCATTGTTTTCATTCCGTCATTATTTACCCTCATCCATGAAATTAGTGGTTCTGGTATTCCGGATACCAAACATCTTAGTGTTTGAGTTTTACCTTTGACTACATTCTGTCTATCTGGTGAAACTATAGCAATAGGTGGTTCTGTAAAAGCAACAACGTACGGCTCACAAAATTCATGTTTTTTTTTAAATGGTTGCCATGGAAACAAACAATATATAATTGATTATATATTTTCAACATAAAAGATAGTTTGGGGTTTGGTCTTTTAACTGTGCAACAATCATTATTGTATGTATTGATAAATGTTTTTTTTTTTCCATAGTACTTAAACTTTCCTTTTTTTTTCAATTTTCTTAGGTTTCATTATCCACTTATTCAGGCAACTGATGTTTGGTCCGTTGCCATGAGAACGTATATAATAAAATGGAAATACATATGTAATTTTACACAGTTACCAGTGTTCTTACTTTAAAGGGCAAACAACTTAATTTTGAGACATTCATAAATCACCCTCTGAATGATTCTTACAAAGACAGATACTTAAAGAGCTTTTATGACGACTATTATTGTTGCAAAAACATTCACTAATCATATGCATCTTGATAGTGGTATCATAAAAGAAAAAAAAAATATGTTTAAAACAATATCCGACAAATGTCTCAGTGTATTCTTATAAGGACTAGCAGCTTTTGATATATAGTTCTTAAATAGATGAACGCAATCCTTCACGAAAACCATTTCAAGAAAAACGACATGAATATATTATGTAACTGAATGCGGGATATTCAAATGTCAAATACGAAACACAAATCCGTAAAGTCAAATAAGAGAATCTTTTATTCTGAACTAATAATTTGCTTTGTTTTTTATTGCTTTGCTAAAAGTAGCTTTAATGCTTAACAGAAAATTCGGAAACATACACTATTTACATAACAAGAGTGCAAACACTGAAATGTCTCGCCTTCTTTACTAACTATTGATATCATGTTGATAGTCCTAAATATAAAGCTTTACTACAACTATCACATAAACTTAACATGATCCAAGAAAATGAGGTCATGGTCAGATAAACCAAACTGGAAATACATGTACACCTTAAAATCATTCAATACAATATGCTTTAAATATAGTTGACCTATTGCACATCTAAGAAACAAACTTACCAAAGGCCGTACTTTGACCTATAATGGTTTACTTTTACAATTTGTGACTTGGATTGAGAGTTGTCTCATCGGCACTCATACCACATCTTCTTATATCTATTAACCAGGAAAACTTCACATTGATCAATGAACCATGAAAAAGAGGCCAAGGTCAGATGAACCCTGCCAGACAGACATGTACACATTACAATCATTAAATGCTTTAAATATAGTTGACCTATTGCATATAGTATCTAAGAATCAAACTTAACAAAGAAAACTTAAGATTGACCAATGAACCATGAAAATGAGGTAATGGTCAGATAAAAATTGCCAGACAGACATATACACCTTACAATCATTCCATACACCAAATATAGTGACCTATTGCTTAAAATATTAGAAAAAAAACAGACCAAAAAACAAAAACTTAACATTGAGCAATGAACCGTAAAAATCAGGTCAAGGTAAAAAAAACATGCCAGACTGACGTGTACATCGTAAAATATTTTCATACACCAAATATAGTTGACCTATAGCATACAGTATTAGAAAAACAGACCAAAACACAAAAACTAGACTTTAACTACTGAACCATGATAATGAGGTTGAAGTCAGATGACACCTGCCAGTTGGACATGTACACCTTACAATTATTCCATACACCAAATATAGTAGACCTATTTCTTACAGTAAAAGAAAAACAGACCAAAACACAAAAACTTAACTTTAACCCCTCAACCATGAAAATGAGGTCAAGGTCAGATGACACCTGCCAGTTGGATATGTACACCTTACAATCATTCCATACACCAAATATAGAAGACCTATTGCTTATAGTATCTGAGATATGGACTAAACCACGAAAACTTAACCTTGTTCACTGATCCATGAAACAAGGTCGAGGTCAAATGAAAACTGTCTGACGGGCATGAAGACCTTGCAAGGTACGCATATACCAAATATAGTTATATAGTTATTACTCATAATAAGAGAAAAATTATCAAGTAGTCACTGAACCATGAAAATGAGGTCAAGGATAATGGACATATGACAGACGGAAACTTCATATCATAAGGCATTTATATACAAAGTATGAAGCATCCAGGTTTTCTACCTTCTGAAATATTAAGCTTTTAAGAAGTTAGTTAACGCCGCCGCCGCCGCTGCCGCCGCAGCCGCCGCGGCCGCCGGGTCACTATCGCTATGTCGAGCTTTCTACGACAGAATTCCCAGGTGCGACAAAAACAAACTTTTTGAAAGTTCCGAGCCGGTCAAATATTGGCATCATCAGAATACAAAGTAGAATCAGGTACCTGTATGGTTAAAACCATCTTAGGTTTAACCTATAATACAGGTAGACATGACGTATTTTGATCATATTTTCTCCTATTGAATAACTTATGACTTATTTACATAAAGTCAATTTTAAAAAAATTATTCAATAAACTCTGATTAGCAATACTGTGTTATGATTTAAAAAAGTCAAAAAGATTAATTTTTCAACAGTTTCAATTTCATTGGCAAACCTTTAAAAGTAAATATACCCTTTCTAATTCTTTGTCAATCAATTCCGTAGTAACTAATTCAACTGTTTGACGTTCTAGTTAAAGTTTATCTAAGGTTATTTACTGACATGCAAATTGTTGGTCATGGTAAACAAAATCCTATTAGATATGTGAACAGCTGCAAATGTCTCAACAATGGACTTGCTTTATTATGTGTTTCTTTTATGTGCTGTTCTACCGAGACACGACTATTCAATCTTCTGTGGCACCTGAGATCACCCCCGGTTTTTGGTAGTGTTCGTGCTGCTTGTTTTTTAGATTTTGATGTATTTAATTGTATTCTAATTTTTGTTTTTGGTCTATTTCGTTTTTGCCATTGAATTGTCTTTCCGTTTTCGACTAATGAGTATGAATATTCCTTTGGAATCTTTCGCCTCTTTATTTTATTAGTGCATAATTTTGTGTTTAGCTGTAATATTTATCTTTGAAACACTCTAACTCACCGATGTATCTAAGGGTTGAAGTATTGCTAATTACTTCTCCAGCCTCGTTCGTAGCTTTACAGACATATATTCCTTCATCCTTTTTATTGAAGTCTATTATCGTCAATGAAGGACAATCAACATTTCCTCCTGTGTACTTTTCTGGAGATAAGTTAATTATTGCTTCTTCCCCATTATTTACTCTCATCCATAACACAATTGGTTGTGGGATTCCGGAAACAGAACACATTAATGCTTGAGCTTTACCTCTGACTACACTCTGCTTTTCAGGAGAAACTTTGACCATTGGTTTTTCTATAATAGCAAAAAATATGTTTCAAACAAAATAGTTATTTATACACATTATAATTGCAGTATTTAATAGTATGTGATCCACAAATGTGCAACTGTGGAAGACTAACATTTTCGAATATTCGGTCGGCTGCGGTTTGATTCTATTGTAGCATTGCTTAAATATAGGCTGAAGTCATTTTCAGCAAAACAGCTAGAGGTCTTTGTATTTTCTCATTTTGACTGGTAGAGGAAATCATCTAGTATGTTATGTATCAAATTAAAAAATTGCTATTATTGAATAATAGTATGCAAGATGCGTACTTCTTCTACACAATATACACCAGATGCGTTTGAAACAAACTGGTTTACAATCCAAATAAATTCTATTTAAAAAGTAGAACCGCTCTTAAATACAGTTATTTTCTAATTATCAGCAAATCTGCTGTAGACAATATAGGCATTAAAATAAAATATTTGGTGTCTCGAATTATTTTAAAACATAATTAACTCTAAAATCAAAGAAAATATAATCACGATATTTTATTTTAGCACAGGAATTCTGACTTTTTAGACATCGGGGACAAAACTGTCACCAGCTGTTCCATCGAAAAATGGTTGTAAAAATTTCTCAAAAATACCAGACCTATAGTTAGTGCGATAGGCAATGGTTTCGATTACACAAGACGTGTTAACATCTAAACAGTGGAAACCCAAATCAATAACATGTCAAAGAGCTCTGAAAACAAAAAAAAATCACAAAAAAGCTGTGCCAAATCTGTCTTAGACCATCTAGGTATAATGTTAGAATAAGATTAGTTTTATGAATGATTTCACATTTAATAAACAAGAAACTATAGAAATTAGTTTCATTGCGATTTTGCAAATTTCATTTCAAAATTTTATTTAAGTCTCATCTCTTAACAATATATAATACAACAATACATTAATTGTAAAATATAGATATGAAATAGAGAGCCATTCTGTACAGATGTATAAGAGACTATGACATTAAAACATTAAAGATAATTCGTTTATTGTTAAATATGTTTATAAGAACATTATGTAAAGTATGAAACATTGCTACGTCTATTAAAAATAAGATCACAGGCTTTGGGGAAGCTACGAATCATATTAATATCTATAAATAAAAACACCAATTTCTATTTATTATCAAAAGACATAAAATCCCTATTAAAATGTTTCGCTTCATAAAATATTTTGTTTCTAAAATCGTCATATAATGGACACGGTAGAATGACACGAGTTTCATTTTCTAAAACATTTTTACAATTATCACAGACTCGCTCCTGTAAAAGTAATTTTTTAAATCTCTCCTATTTTGATTCTTAATGGTGCCACTCCACATTGAAACTCCTTTGTGGAAATGGCAATGGAACTGTAATGTATGTTTCAGTTTAAAACTTTTCTAAAATGAATTATGTGATTTAAGTTTGTTACCACCTTTACCCGATAGAGCTTTATCTGACTATATATAGCATTGCAACTGATCAACATATTTTCTAAACATTCTAGACATATCAATATTAGCAACTGAGGTACTATCAATTTATTCTGTTATATTACACAAATATTCTACAATGTACTCTGAAAAAGTTTTCCTTACATAAGAATTCCAATTATTTATACACTTGCTTTTTTTACTTATAATATTGGCCCATATGAAAACCTTTCTGTTTAACCGATAAGTACTCATATAGTTTAAATGTCACCAAGTCAACAATTTGGAGCATCAAACTTTGATTGTTTTAAAAAGGCATTTGAGCAGTTACATTATAATCGAAAATTCACTTAATACAAGACCGAAATAAGTATAAATATAAGAGTATTCAATGATATTATTTCCATGTTTAAAAATGTCAACACAGCTAATTCGGCTACTTGGATCGTGGTATCCTTGAAAAGAAACGTTCACCAGCACGTGTATAGACGCAGTGTTTGTAAAAAAAAAAGATACCATGTTTATAATTAAGTCAAAGATGTTTCGTTTACAAAAGACCAAACCGCGACGGCGCTTGAATCACGATAGTTGAAAAACAATGTCAATTATAAACTTAATGAGTATTGCAAACAAAAAATTACAAAAGCGTTTTTTACAAATCTGACTGTCTATGCCTTACTTCTTTTTAGTTTCATGCATTTCATATTTAACCAATATATGACATAGAATGCTTACCGAGGTATGTAAGCTGTGATTCATTACTAACTCCCACTCCAGCTTCGTTTGTTGCTCTACATACGTATATACCTTCATCGTCTATCATAAAACATTTTATTGTCAATGACGGATATTCAACTGTTCCTCCAGAATACTTTTCTAGTAATGGCATTATGGCTATTTCCTCTCCGTGTTTTTTCTTTGTCCATTGAATGGTAAATGGTGATGGCTTGCCAGATATGTTACATTCTATTGTATGACTGTATTCATTTATAACCTTTTTCTTTGCAGGTCCTATTTCTAGTTGTAGCTTCTCTACAATAAGACAAGTGTGTTAATTGAAAATATTTGTAACAAATCAACATGGGATTTCAATTACAATATAGCATTTATTTGTTTCCTCATTTCAGTAGCTAATATAAGGCGGTCTTGTATTGTTATGGAGAGTCAAAATTAACAGTAGACTATAATTTTCGTTCATAAATTGTACCTGTACCAGCCAAATATCGTGCCTATACCCATAACACATTTATATCAACTGAGCGATATAAGTTTTCAACTAGCACATATATGTTAAATGGAAAATAGCTATTATTGAACCACTGCTTTGACGGCAGCCTATTCATTTACAGTGGTTTCTTTTTCTAGATCGAATGCTTCTCAAATCGATAGCTGAAATTGTCACTTATAATATTCAATTGTTGGCTTTTTTCGTTTATTTCGATTATGTTTGATTTGACTTATTCAATGATTTCTATTCATAATTTAATACACATATAATGAAGGTGTTAAACGCAATTTTAGGATGAGTTAAGAGTTAACTTTGAGAGTTACACTTGAACACATAGTTCGAACGTTTTAAAACTTTTTAGATTTTGATATGACATGTTTTATTTTTCATTTTAATAGACTTGATTTTAGTGACAAATACAAAATAATGAAGTATTCAGTACAGCTTTCACTAACCTGGTACTATCATCTTTAAATTAACATTAGCTTTCTCTTTTGTGTCTATGTATGATAGAAAACCAGATATCAGAGGCATTACTTCATGATGTAATTCGCGTCTATCAATCATTATTTGTTTTAAAACATCAATTATGATATTTAAGTCTTTGCAAGAATAGCTTTTTATTTTCACTCCGGCTTCTTTATTCATCTGTGATGCACGCATTTCGTTTAAGGCTTTAATGATGTCTTTTTCATCCCAGGAAACTGGAACTTCTATTTGAAAAAGAACTTGCATTCTTCCTTGTCCTACAAAATTGTGTAATGCACACTTAAAAATGTCAAATGTTTTTTTATGTAAATATTAAGATGATCACTTTAGATTAATAAGATATTGTGTTTGTTATAGTATTGAGATCCTAAGGTATGATAATTATAGTTAGATCCAGAATTTCGAAAATTATTTAAATATAGCAATATCGTCGTCGGAATGGGATCCTAACCTAACCTCCCCTTTGGGTCAGTAAAGTCAGGTTTAAACAATCCACGTGACCATTTTTCAGCGTTGAACAGGGATGCATCACTGCACTTATTTGATTTGTTAAAAAGCAATGACTATCACAATGTAATCGTTATTGAAAATTCTATTTTGCATGATAAAAAAAAGTTTCAAAGGGAGCTTGGCTATATGAACATTTCCCGTCATGTGTCAACATTGTTCCTATCCCACAACGCTTCCAATAACCGAATATATGTTTTTGTATTACACCTGGATCGGCTGTCTGGCAGAGAGGTTGGATCCTCTTCTAAAACTAAGTTGTCTTCGATGTTTGCCGAGGAAATCTAAAGCCTGTCGAGGTCTTTTGACCAATTTTTTACCGAAGGTTTGGTTTTATTATGGAGTGGCATTTTCATTAGTTAACTAAATAATTAACTAAACTGATAAATATGGCGGTTTTAGTTTCTTCCGAAATATAAATGTATGACAAGTCCACATACGACGATTATATCAATATATTGACAAATTTGGTTTGCTGGAACTCCAGTTGGCGCTTAGAAACCAGCAATCAATCACTTAATTATATATATTATAGTACACATTTAATCCAGTAACATTAAATGTAGGGTAAATGCGAGATACTAAGATGACCTCAAAGGCATTACTTTATCTTCATGGTTAGCTTCGATGTCACAAGGCACAACTGTCACACTGCTTAATTACTTGCTATGCTAAAAAGGTAAAGGGAATGTGATTTATATTTCAAATAGGTTATTTAAATATTCTTGGTTGAAATAAATTATATCGTGAAATTGACATTAGTGAAAAATTAAGTTGTCCTAATCTTGATCTGAATATCCACAAACGATAAATATATACTTACCTTCATCTGCTGTCACTTCATCTTTTGTATCCAATAGATCATTCAGTTCATCATTTCCGAAAACTCGAATAACTACTTCATCAACAACTGTTTGTAATGTTTCTGAAAAGGAACCGAGTTAAATGCAAGTCAAAAACATGTTTTCGAAGTAAACATCAATTTTAAGGACCCTAACATCAATAGGGATCTATACCACCTTCTAAGAAATTACCAAACCTTTGTTGGTACAAATTGATATTATTTTTCAAAAGGTAATATCTGGATACAAAAAATTAATTTAAATTTTAGTATATTTATATCTGCTGAGACCTTGACCTCTTATCTTATGACCGCAAAATTCATCAGGATACATTCCACCTCTTTGGATACAAGCAAACAAAACAAATGCTGTTACAAGTTGGTCCTAGTGTTCAAATGGTCACATCCAAAAACCAATACATTAATCAAATTTTAATCTACCTATAGCTGCTGTGACCCTAGTCATTAACTTGATAATCCCACAACTAAAAAAGCTCATCCTCATGACATGGGCCATTATCAAACCAAGTGTGGTAAATGTGAAACAGATGGGTCAAAAGATACAATTCGAAAATTGAAAAAAAAACCAAATGATTCTATCGATATATGTAATTGCTGTGACCTTGAGCCTCGATCTTATAATCTCAGAATTGAAAGGGTCCTTAAACCCTAGAAGGTGATAATGCAACCATGATGATCAATAATAGCAGAGGAATCATGGATGTAAATAATGGCGTAAAACCAAAACATCACAATTTTTTCATATGAGAAAAGCATTCAACGCGACAATGCTGATTAGGATTGACAATTTTTTGCAGTTTTAAGAGCGATGCTGATTCAGACAAAATAACAGCATCGAAGTTACAATTTGTACGGAAATGTCGGTGAAGAAACAGGATCCACGTAAAGTTCTTAAATGTTTGTTATTAGTGATGGAGGCTGAAAAGTCTGTTGACCGCATATGTCAAATAAAGGTTTCAAATTTAATCCTATCAATTCATGCTTTCAACTTAAACTTTTGCACATTTAACTAACAGATTGGTAAAGATCTGATTTATGGCTCCGATGACATTTTCCCGTAATCAATCCGGAATTTCAGCATATATACTGTAAAATAAACCTTTTACCGAAAAAAACGTATGAGTTTTTGTTATTTTCTAAGGATACTTTCAAGCGAATTTTTCTGAAGGTAGGACATATGTTATAAAAGATATCAATTAGTTACCCATAGTTTGCCCGAAAGTTCATCCAATTAATTTGCTGTGTTTCTAAGCTTTGACCTAGTGGCTTGAAATCAATACGATGTTTTCCACACAGATTTGTACAGAAATTAGTTATGACACAAAAGATGCTATATCCTAAATCTGATAAACCTTTTCGAAAATGTCAGTATAGTTACAGGTAGTGTGAACTTGAACGATTGACACCAAAATAGATAAGGCAACTACAATTTCCTATAACATGGGTTTATAAATATATGTTGTTTACTTGATTTTTTACTCTTTGATCCAAATCAATTAGAATCTTCTTCCCCATGTAAGGGATACACTGGATATATAATTGAAAATATACATCCGGATATTTCAATTAATTAAACGCTGTTTTGACCTGTAAGTTTGAACGATTGACCCCTGAATCGATAAGACTTTTTTCTCCTATTGGACATTATCAACGCAAGTTGAGTCGATATAATGTATATGTTAACTAAATAAACTTCAAGGACAGCTATTTCAATGTAGATATTTTATCTTAATATCAAACACATTATTTATTAAGCAACGTACTAAAAAGAACGGTTATAACTATGAGGAAATGTAAGTGATGAGTCGAAAAAGAACAGACAGCATCATGATCGAAAACAAATTCAAATGACAGAACACGTCGACCAAATACTATCGATAAAAATAAGATTGTTCAACATGAACCGAATTGGAAATAAACATTATATTTTTCTTTTGTTGGTTTTACTTAGAAAAGCTTGATAAAAAATTTTGAATATGAATTTTAGGGGATTCAAGGAGCTCAAATTACATTACCTGGCATTTAGTCTTGCTGATAACGTTTGATCGCTAGAGTTATGTCTATCTCATGATAGCTTTCAGTATAAGAAAAACTTAAGATAAGTGATTGTTGTTATTAGGGCAAGAACGGCTTTAAGTTTTATTCATATTGACTAATTGTAAACCCTCTTTCTGTGTTGCTGCTCAAATTTTAATTATATCCAGTAATGTTTTCAAGATGTAAAACACAAAAATACGTCACAAAACGTCTGACGCTTTCCAGATGAAAGATCTGTTTAGTCTATATTCAGACTGTTTAGTCTATATTCAGACTGTTTAGTCTATATTCAGACTGTTTAGTAGTTGCAATTTGCATGTACATATCAACATCATTCTTAATTGTCTGAAAAGCTACTAAACAGTACTTAATTAAATATAAGCGAATTGTTTGAAAAGTACTAAATCTCCCGCAGTTAATAAGTCTAAAAATTGATTAAAGACTAAATACGACTAAATAATTTATTGTTCAGACTTTGCAGATGATATAAAGAACAAAACGACATTTTCACTTGTGACAGTCATTTGACAACTTAAATCATACTGGAAAATGAGTAAACTTAATATTTTGCACTTTTCTACCCTCAATTGATTGTCTTTTTTACTCGCACGATTTAAATATAATAGATAATACAGAAGTGTTATCCTTTGTTCTATTTTTAGCCCTGGTGTACATATTTTATTTGTTGGTATGGCAAAAAACATCGGACATATATTGTAAACTAAATACACAAAGGATTGGTTCTAACTGCCCCAATAATTTAGTAAAAGATTTTTGTACAGTACAATGGACGACCAACTCCATGTGATGAAAAAGGTCTACATCATTAAGGCTACCAACCAATTTCTGCGGCTGCTTTCTCCATAAGTACGTCTTCATCCATGATTATCTGTGCGAACCTTGAAAAACTTAGGCGAAATTCTTCTTGATGACGTTGCTAAAAGATTTGAAGATAATAATTACTTAAAATCAGTTTTCCAAGCGTATTCTTTTTTCGTTATTATTTACAGATTATATGGAGGTAATCTGATAAAACAAAAGAAAAAAAACATAAATATTTAACTGATGGCGGCGAGTTCAGGTTGTGAGTTTATGTTGGAAAGTACCAAATAGTTTTTTTTTCCTATTTTGCTAGGCAAGCGGTTTTTCGAATTAAAAGTGACATTCGACTAGGTCTGACGATATTGATTATTAAATTGGCTTGAATATTGGAAACAGGCGTGTTTCGGTTTTATCAGTATCTGAACCAGTATGATATGGAACAGTTGTTGAGGTAGATAAACTCAACTAGTGTTTTTTTACAATCAATTTATTTATTTCCGGATTTCATTTTCCATACATTTTAGCAGTTCCTGCAGTATGTAGAATATCTTGTAAATTACATAAAAATGATATGGACGTTTCATTCAGGCAAGAGGTTAGGCATTATCAGATTAAGTATAATAACTTTTGATAAGTATTTATTTCTGAATGCTCTATGCCATTAGTAATGAGTAATTATTCTACTATCTGTGTCACCCATCCAACTCAGCGTTGATGTCGTTGTTTTGTGATAGACCGGTATCAAGTGCGCATGCTTAAATCGGTCTCCTTATCAATATAGGTCGTCTCAATATATGCAACCAAGTTCTACTTCTGAAATATTGTCCAAGTAAAACTAAGATCAAAGGTATACAAATATCAACAGAATAACATGTGAGCTTCATCAAGGTTGAACTAGAGGGCGCGACATAACCAGACGATTGATCGGACCGTGCTTATTTAACCTTCAGTCTAGATTATATCGGAGCCGAAACTAAAAGTTAATTAGATCTGTGGCTTCGTCCGTCGGTGTATTATCTGACCGTCAGAAGTCTGATTACAGCCCTTATATTATGAATCTTGTCAACCAAAGACATCAGTAGCAATCTTCATTCTACGGGTTGGAAATACTTATTCTAATTTTAAATTCGAAACTCATGCGATGTAAGAATCGCTTAATTAGTGTCTCTTATCTTTATTTACAGCATTGGTGACATCAACAGGGAATGGTGCTCTAATTGGCCTATACCTCGGACACACGTAAGTTTAGACCATGGAAAGTATAGCAGTCCATGGTAGGCAGAGGAAAGAAAGTAAACTAGTTTCATTAGAATAAACTACTTAATGATATTCATGCTCATGTTGCAAGTATTTGAAAAATATCAAATATTGTGCACTTTCGTAAAGAAAGCTGTTCTAGTTATGTATATCTGAACGTTTAACAATGATGATTAAGATGCATACAAATGAAAAGTACGAAAGACTGCAATGCAACAAGGCCATACCTCCAATTCTACAAATTTATCTCTACAGAAGTCTTGAAAAATCTGCTGCTGAACATAGCTATCGCTTGATATCATCATTGATCCTCTGATTTCATTGATGTTTTTATAAAAGTTTTCATTATATTGCTCATCATCTATGTAATGTAAGAAATATTCACTAGATTCTTTCAAAATTTTCCAATTTTTTTCAAATTCTTGATGTACAATTGAATGAGAGTCTGACTGATGAAAGACATAGTTTCGTACTTTCCTGATATCTTCGCACTTTTTGTCAACACCTAGAGGTGTATTCACATCATGGACATTTGTCATTAGAATAGAAAGTAATGAAATATCCACATCAGACAAAGAGGCAGACGATTTCACTTTGTACGGACAAATGCAACGTTGCCTTGATCTATCTTTACCTTTTGTGTGTCTCCGATTTAATAAAGTTCTATCATGATCAAATAAAACAGAAATTTGATCCTGTGTTAAAATAAATTTACATTCACATTTACATAAGCAAGCTTTTGCACATTTACAGCATCTAGATGAGCATTGGCAACATGGATGCGGTTCATGTAAATGTAAGATGTTATGTATATGTTTCTCTAAATATTTTTCAAATGTGTCAGCTTTCAAAATGAATGAGTCAAAATACTTCTTTGTGACATCTCCAGCTATATGTACAACAAATTTGACCAGTCGATGGAAGTTATCTTCTAGATTCTGGTGATCAGATGCATCTACTACAAATCAAAAAATGAATAAATGTCTCAACCGTTATTGATAACAACAAAATAATTTGATAAACATCTAGATCTACGCCTTGCTTAAAAGAGGCGAAAGATATCAAAGGGATATTCAAACTCATTAAGTCGAAAATAAATAGAGAATTTATACTCCATATGCAGGCGAAGCTGGAATGTTGCGTCATAGAAATAGAAAGTTTACAATGGGGTAGCTGTAATCATACCTTTTGTCGTAAAGTTGTGCTCCTTATTTCTAGATGTAAGTCAAGATATGAGGCAGTCTTATCTGTATTTATCGTATCCTTTATATCAAGTTCAATGCTAATGTAATAAAACTATAAATAAACTATGAGTCATCTAATCGAGAAGTCCTCATTTTAACTAGGAGTGAAAAGCCCAAGCTTTTGAAAGATTAAAACATTTATTGAACAGATTATGTACAGCTCTATTGTTCTGGTGATACTATGGTGGTACAAATCATCCATCAGTAAAGTTTCGAATAATTTTAACATTTAATACACCGAAAAAATTCAAGAAACTACCGTATCAATAATATTTCTGCCAGCACAGCACACTCCTTGTTCACAAAGCTTAATGGCTACGGTTTTTTTCTGAATATGTATGAAATATGTCTTAACATTCTGATTGTATGCAATTTGTTGAAAACACTGTGCCGAATTTTCTACATTATTCCGATTATCTTTAACTTTGCGTCATAATAGTTGTACTGTCTTAATAAGTCTTACCATAAGATGTCTTATTATGTCTCATCACTTCCGGATAGTCACAATGTTGTCTGATTAAGTCTCAAAATATTCTTGGCAATCTTAACAAATTTAACCCCACAAGTCATACCTTACTGTTTTTTTTTTTTTTGTGCTCGTTTGCTTCTACAATCAACACGTGTAAGGAAATTGTTCGTTGTTATTCTGCGGTTTGTATGTTGTGTCAACTATTATATTATTTGTTTGTGCGTTTCTCTTTGATGAGTGTTCTTGCGTGTGTTTGTGCTGTATTTCTGTGACGTAGTGTTGCCAATTTAAGCGATATTTATTAACATTGCCATATAAGCGGGTGATTTGGCTAGCAATCAAACCAGGTTCAACCCACCATTTGTTTCTTAAAATGTCCTGTACCAAGTCAGGAGTATGGCAGTTGTTATCAAATAGTTCGTTTCTATGTACGTTGGCGTTTGTTTTTTGTTGCACTTCAGTGTTCTTGTTGTCTCTTTGTTTTCCTCTTAAAGTTGATGTGTTTCCCTCGGTTTAAGTTTGTTTTCTCTCAATCGATTTATGATGTTTGAACAGCGGTATACTAATGTTGCCTTTATTTATCAAGAGTGCAAAATTTAGACAAGTTTTAAAATACTTTCAAATTAACATGATTAAGAAAGTTAAGAATCTGACAACACATGTTAGGGGTGTAGAACTAAAGAATGAGCTATACGATCCAAATGTAAACCGATAGTAAACACGGGTACTGCGGATGGGTAAGCACTCCCTACTTTATTAGTAGCGCTCGTCGTGCTGGTCGAGCTGGTATAAATTCAGTGATTAGTCACACTCGATGATGCCGCAATCAAGAAAAAGAAGGCGGGATTGTTGCTACATGTTAAACATATCGTTGCCATCTGTGATACAGGAATTGCAGAACAATCAACCATATCATGATGGCATCCATTAAAATTATTAAGGGATGACTTCAACTTTATCATTTGACTATTTGGAGTCGATCAAATATTACGGTCATGTTGACTACTTTTGTAAATCTTATCTTGCCTATCATATTTGTTGCTTACACTTTCTAGAATACTTTTCAATAAAAATGCCAAAAAGGCAAAATATCGGTAACAATTGTCTTTAAAGAACAATAAATTTTACTAAGAGTCATTATATAATTTCCTGTATTTCACAAACGTGATGGTATTTACTTGGTGATCACTTTTGTTTTACAGTCTCACTCTTTAATTTTGAAGAACATATTTAAAACACAAATGACGATAGTTTTACCTTTTAAGTGCAAGTACTCCTTTCTGAAGGGAGAGATGAGTACTAATGGCAAGTAGACTTATTTATACATTTTAACATGTTGATCATGTGTCTGTGTACATAATTTCTCTATCTATAATAGTTTAGGTAAAAGAAAAACGCAAAATTCAACAAAGACAAAGTATCAAAAGTCAAGGGCAAACACTCCTTCAGTGGTAAATTTATGATATCGGTCATGATGGATTATTTGTAGATTTTGGTTGAATGACGTATTTTGCTTCTTTTTTTTCACTTTCTGTCGGAGCGTCATAATATTTACCACAACCATACAAGAAGGGTTAAGTCTTCTTTCGAGGACAAAAACACGTATCAGGAGCCTTCAGGTAGTTTTGAACCTGCTTGGCCCTATTCAATTTTGTCTTTTATTATGCTTTTAATTATAAAGATGAAATAATTATTTTAATGTTATCTTTATGTGTTTTATTTTCAGCTACTGGGTTAATGTTAGTAGATTCGCAATAGCATAAAACAATATATGTTAGAGACCCTTAACGGATTTTGGTTGATATTATTCCATTAGTTTCAGAGTAAAATATTTTGACGACAGACGCTAAGTGATAGTAGTTTTTCACATAACCCATAGGTCAAGGTGTGCTTAAAAGCAGTAAATGCTGTTTTAATTTCTTTTAGGTAAACAAGTTGACGCACATAACAAGCCTCATGTTAAAACTCTTACATATATATGTAAGAAATGTTCCATTACTCGACCAAATACCAGCATCGTTTACAGCACTGCAAAGATATGTCCCTTCATCCTCTCTTGTAAAGTTTCTGATGCTGAGAGATGGCTTTTCTACTGTACCCCCTTGATACTTTTCACAGCACAATGAAACTTGTTTTGCCGTTCCTTTGGATACTTTTACCCATTGGACGTCTTTGGGTTGATTCCCTCTAACGTTACACCTGACGGTTTGAGTACTATTTTTCCTACATTCCTTATTTATGGGACTTGTCACTGGGACAGGTTTCTCTAAAACATTTAAAAGATATATAAATATTAGTAATCATGGTAATAAAAATGTTTGGTAAATATATATACATAGCAAAATAATGAAACTAACATAATTAAACTATCTTTGAAACGACATATAATCAGATTAAGTGTTAAGAAAAAGTTAAATGTCGTACGCGTAACATTTTAATGAATAAACAGTTATTGATGCTGCAACTTCGAAAAATAGTAATGAGGATATGTTATATGTGTTAAGCTAAAAAAATGTTAATCTTTTCCTTAACATAATCACAAATCCCCTAACAGGAAACGTAAAAAAAGAGTCCGATCAGCTCCCTCTCATTTTTTCTTTCATTGTCATTTTTATAAATTAAACGAGACAGAGCTCGATCTTTTACAATTCTATATGCTCAATACTGGCTACATTTGTAAAGATCATGAATTAAAATTAAATTTTTGAGCTTGTCATCATCTGGTGTTCTTTCTAATATTGAACAGATACTGCATGGAAGAAATTGAAAGTCGACATCACTATCAATAAAAGCCATGCCATGCAACTTAGCTGGTGATAAATTAAATTAATTATTTCATGTTTGACTTCTTAAACAGGTGAGTATATAAATATAACACAAAACTGTACGTTCATTGTCTGTTAAGAAAATAAAGGAGCAAAATTAATTTATATGTGTTCACTGTCATAATAACAAACTATTAGAAAACTCGATTCAAGGATACAATAAAGCAGTTATAGTCCTACGCAAATAGTAGGATAAAACTGCAAAAGACTGTTTGAATACTAGTAACATTAGAATGTTAAATGATGCAGATTAGTATGTCTCCTGGGAGATCTTTCCAGTTTTAATTCCAGTATTTGTGGATATTTTTTTAAAACTCATTGTATGCTTGTTATCTTGGGGAATTAGTCTTTTACATCTGAAAATACTTAGTCTGCCCTTCAATGAAATATATGAATAGAATTTTGCTTTGTTTTTTGAACTTTTGAAAATTCCCCTTGGTCCAATCAGACAAAAGTTTTAAGGCCTAAACGTATATTAACTATAGCTATATATATAGATAACCTGCTGTATATCGTTTAACTTACGTTCTCCTATATAGATATTGTCCTCTTACTAAATAGTTCAAAGTTGATGTTGAACGCATCCATACCCCATCGAACATGAAATTAAGGATACAACAGATACAGTTTAGTCTGCCTCATAGATAGACTTACATCTAGTTATTGACAATGAAGATCAGTTGAGAACAAAATTTTACTTCAACAGAGATGATTTATGCTTTCTTATTGTCAATTTTCCATTTCAATGTAGCAATATTTCAATATCACCGGAGTATTGAGTATGTGTCTTCCAGTGAGCATTTGATACGAGATTAAAGAGCTTGCATTTTAATTTCTTTCGTGATTTCCTTGATAAACGGTTGCTGCTTACGAGGAAGCTATTGAGCCAAGAGCTCCAAGCGGTAAAATATAAGTCATGTCTTCAAAACTTTTACGGATGCCATCGTGAGTTGGTTGATCTCGATCAAGTGACCACCAAAACGTGCACAAAGAACATATCAGAAAAATCAGTACACAAAAACCGATTACATCTAAAATAAATGTGTAATAGATTACAAAAGGTCCACAAATTAATCAACAAGATATATCAAAATAAAAAACGCTTGGTGTTAGTAAAAGGAAGCTCAAACTGCTTAACCAATACATGTTGATATTGAATCATGCTGTCCTACACCATATATCGGTTGTTGAATTATGGTATATTATCTAAAACTATAAGGTATCCAGAGAATTGATCGCTTCCGTTCATCCGACTGTGTTCCAATGAATAAGGGAACATGGCATGACTCTCATAGAAAAAATGTCCTCTTTACATTATTTAATCATTAAGATAGTAAGGATTGGGTTACTAATTTGTACAAAATTCATTGGCATTATACAAAAAATTCAAGTTTATTTTCCTTTAAGCCGCAATTAATTTTAACTTTGACTCCTGCAGTAAAGAATGAATGAAGGAGGTTTAGTTGAAAGTTAATGCTCAGTTGTAAACGATAGCTGCCTAGGTAACCCAATCCTTATCCTTTGTTCAATCGGAGCAGCCGAAGATATTACAGACAAAGAGGATATGGTTTATGCAAACTGCGAATGATTAACACTTTATAATTTTGTTTGTCCGAAGCGCTTTTCTAGATTTATAGATATCAGGTATGACGAACCCAAAACATCGGTAAGCAAGAATGTTTAAATATGTAAAAACGTTACAAACTAAGCGTGCTAAATAAACGCATCATAGATACCAGGATTGAAATTTTGTATTTGCGCCAGACGCGCGTTTCGTCTACAAAAGACTCATTAGTGACGCGCGAATAAACAAAAGTTAAAAAGACCAAATACAGTACGAAGTAGAAGAACATTGAGGACCAAAAATTCTTAAAATACAGGTAATGTAATCTATTCCTAATGTCTAAAAGAAACCAAAACATATTGCCAAATTCATCTAAGGTCAACTTTGACTACTGGAGTTGGAATTTTTGAAAACATTTATTATAAATCATTCCAGTATCAACGTACAACTTAGTTGATGATATCCTCGAGGAATAATATTCTACAAGCAGTAGATTCGACATTAGTATCAGAATATTTATATGAACGCGGAGTTATCATGGATATTATTACGAACTTCGATCAGGTGCAACGGATTTGATAACAATATCTAGGCGTGATTTGATACCTAACTTAATAAAAAAAATTGCTTAACAAATAGACTTTTATATATTGTAGATTAAACAGGCTGGATTACTGTAAATTCAGAAATTATTGCGTGCATTTAATATTGCGATTTTGTCATTTTAGACTAAAATGCGATTTTAATTTTTGCGATATTGGGAAAAATCCTGTTTAATTCATATAACAAAAATTTCAAAATGCGAGTTTAAATTATTGCGATTATAATCCTATCGCATTTTTCGCAATAATAAAAACATCGCAATAATTTCTGAATTTACAGTATACTAAAACGCCTTAAATATAATTGCATATCGATTGATATATTGCTTAACAGCTTGACTGAAAATAGGTTATACATTTTAGATATGATCCCATTATCCTTAATTAGTTTCTGAACTGACAGAGCTTACTTCCGATAAGTAGTCAAGAGGCGAAAGGTACCAAAGAGACATTCAAGCTCAGAAGTCAAAGGTAACTGACAATGCCATGGCAACAGAAAAAGACCAAAACACAAATAACAGTACACAAAACACAACATAGAAAACTAAAGACTAAGCAACACGAACCCCACTAAAAATAGGGATGATCTCAGGTGCTCCGGAAGGGTATAACATAAATCCGGCTCAAGTACAAACCTGGTAGCGAGTCTTATTCGGTAAGTCATATTCGGTGAAATGAGGACGGGATAGGATAGTGGTTAAGACACTTCCGTCGTCATCTGTAATATTCCATAACGGTCAACCAGCTCATGATGGCTTCCGTAAAATTTACGAAGGGATGATTTCAACTACACCACTTGGAACTTTAAGTTTGAAAGCTTCCTTGTGAGCAGCTACCCAATATCACGAACATTATGATAGGAAATACATGCCCTGCAATATCGTATCTACTGGGAAATACATACTAAATATGCAGGCGCTGCTGGAATGTTGCTTCATAGAAATGGACAAGTTCACACTTTTGTTTATAATCAACAATTATAGTCAAATTCTAGATGTGACTCAAGATATAATGCAGACTTAACTGTATTCTTTGTATCCTTTATCTCAAGTTCGATGGGATAAATTCGTTCAACACAGTCAGCAAACTTTGCATTATTGAGTGAGAAAACATCATCTATATAGCGGAAAGAGGAGATAAAGGATACTTTAGAAAGTGGTTTGGTGGAGCAATTAGAAGACCCAGCTATAAAACGTTGTTTGTAAGATCACTAATTTAATTTAGATTTTTAAAACAGTGAAGGAAGATCCAGTTTATGATCTTTGGTTAAAAATCAAAAGACACATAGAACAGACTTATGATTATCCATAAGTTTATAACTTAAACACCAGTTAATAATATATTGGATTTGCACGAGTACTAGATAATAAACTGTGGATATTTTTAGATAATTTGTATATCGTTTTACCTTGTCTAGTTGATAATTACTACATTTAATTTACCTCTTCGTCCTCTTGTGTATGTTATATAATTGTAAAAGCAAATGTGCCCGTTATACACACAATGTGATTGATTGAAATGTTTTGCTTAACATCAAAAATCAAATAATGTATGCTCATTGAGAGAGAGAACAATCTTTGTAGGCGCTGTAAAGTGGGCCAATGGGGATAAAGGACGTTATATTGAGAAAGTGACTCAAAAGAAGGGTTTATTGAATAAGGTAAACAACAGTATAAAGATGACTGACCAAAACCCGAAGCTAGCACAACTGCCAAATTACAGAGATCGTAACTTCTCACCAGTAAAAGCCAAGTATGTAGATCCACTTTTCTTTAGTCCAACATCAGTTTCTATTTCACATCTGTACGTTCCTTCATCATCAGGTTGAAAGTTCTTTATAGTCAGCGATGGATTATCATTAGATCCGCTTGAATATTTTCGGGGGTCCAGTGATAGTTGAGAAATTTGATAACTACCATGGTGATTTAAAAACCATGATACATTTGTAATTTTAGTTTGATCAGGTAAATTATAGACTTGGCACTTGAGAGTCTTACTGTTGCCTTTTGCAACATTTTCAAAATCTGGCTGTATGCTAAATGACCATTTATCTACAAAATATGATTATAATAGTTATTTCTTTTCATTGCGATGCACTAAAATGTTTGTTAAACTAGTTATTTTATTTTTATTTCAACGTACGGACGCAAGTATCCAATATAAAATCAGGACGAGAACAAATCAAAAATATTTTCAGAAATTTTACCTTACAACATAACCATCTGCGGTCTCCACAAACAGTTGTTCAAATGTTTTTTGTATGTGAAGAGAATGTGCATGGAAACTTGTTCACTTCCCCCAAACCCTCTTTTTTCTTGACCAAACATAAGCGTACTAATCAATCTAGCAAAGTCAAAGGGATGCCTGTTTAGTATTGATTTTACTACCTGACGGAACTATGACCATATTTCTATACCACAAGATTTATGTTATATTAACAAAAGGATATGTGGGTTAAGAGGCAATATCACAACAAGACATCTAATAAATAAAGAATTGTCTACCTGATATGGCAAACTCTAAGATCCCTCGTAGACTACAAGAATTGCGAATAAACTAAAAACAGACTTTTGAAGATCTATCATCAACACAAAACTATACGGGATATCAATACAGAAAATAGAAACGAATCCTTTAGGTCTTGCATTATTCTAAAAATAAGCGACTATTATCAATATATATCTTTGGTTGATCAAAAAATGGCAGAAGAAACCATGGGGACGTTCAAATTCACAGGTCCAACGAAAAACTGACAACAACATGGCAAAATATGACGAAGAGACAACCAATATAAATTGAGAAGATGTGATATGATTGCCAATGAGACAAGTATTCAAAGTCCAAATGACGTGGATTTAAGCACCTATGTGTCACCGTATTACCTTTAAAAATTCGCATTTTCAATATCTTATAGTCAGCTTTGAAAGGCCCGACATGTCTACAAATCACCGAAAAAAAAACGAACCGCACCAAATATTCGAAGATGATCTAAGATACTCCGAAAGGGTTAACAGATCCAGCTCCTCATGTGGCATCCGTCATGTTGCTTTTTACAAGATTTGTTTTGTGGTGCTACAATCAAAGAAAAGGGAACACCATTGTGATCATTTGATCGATATTGACAAAGATGGACGACACCAACTTTCTATTTGTCATCTTCCATTTATCAATAGTATGACGTCTACATATCTTAATTAATACGTTTCGGGAGCGCGTGTTCACACTATACGGACATCTTTCACAGGGGTTTGCTTCTAACACAAACAAGGCTCCGACAGAGTTATGAGGTACATACAAATTACAGTCACCATTACGAATTGGTTGACCAATACGATCTGTTGGTGTCTCAATTTTCTAGCTACAAGTTTTCTCAGTCTGAATTGCTATACAAGTATAGTCATTTGATCTTAACCAATTATGTATACAAAGCAGGCAAAGCATACCATGTTGACGCACCCGGTCTCGTTCCTTTTTGTGTTCATTCGATTCCCACATTTTTTTTTCTTTTTAATCGATTTACGAAAGTTAAACATCTGTTAACTACTGTCGTTTTAATTTACCACAATTGGATCGTATTTGTGGTCATATGTGACACTGCACCTCTTTGGAGGATTACTTGATCAAAAATTATTTAAGGAATTTATCTAGATTGTTGCAGTATCCGCCCAAAGAAGGAATACAATTATTGAAAAAGATAACTAGATACAGTTCAAGGTTTCCTGTGATGTAATGTATAATGCTGAGGGAACTGTGTAGTGTGCATTTGCAGCTATCAGTGCAGTCATTGCTGAAGCGTATGCATCAACGGTTTGTTTGACAGTGTCTGTTGTAGATATGAATGAACTAGCATTTGCTAGTTCAGTATGGAGTATCTAAGTATAATGTTTAAGTAACAGCACTTCATCAGGTGTTACAAACCAAAATGCTTACCAATAGTTAAGATATTATGTAGAACCAAATGTGAATAAACTTATTCATTATATACTTAGTAGTAAATACAGATAAATTGCATGTGTAATACGGTCAACTGCAATCGTGCTGTGTCAGCTATCCGTGATGATATCGATATCTGTCACGGTTGAAAAGGCTTTATCACATTATTAATCTGTATGACGTCACGTCATCAATTTCAGTCACTGTTGCAAAGGCTTTATCAAACCCCTAATCTGTATGGCGTCATGTCAAACCTCTAATCTGTATGACGTCATGTCACAAAAAAACATCTACGTGAGGTATATATATAATACAGTGTATATAATATGGCTTTTTCAATATCACATACCGTATCAACCCTCAACCAATATAATCCCTCAAGCAGAGCTCTTTGGGATTATATTGGTGTCTCGGGTTGATACGGATGTGATATTGAAAAAGCCATATGATATTCTCTATATACCGAATGTTTTACACCATAACCAAACAGATTATTACATTTTCTTGAGAATCCTTATTATCAGGTATCTATAACTACACGTAGAGTCAGAGTGAAAAGGAATGAAGTCCTCGGTTTTAGATAGTTGTCAATATTTCTGGTCATTTTTAAAAATAGTTATGACTTTTTATAAGACTTCGACGGCTTCAATCAGAACTTAACCCCGTTTTCATATTTAAAAACTGAAAGATATGTGTACTAATACCAGTAATTTGATCAATTGTTTTTTGCTTACCATCAAATGGAAAAACTTTTTGTATAAGGTTACAAAATCTGACAATTACCGGAAGTTGACAGTACTGAAAGAGAGGCGAAAGATACGAAAGGGACACAAATACTCATACGTCGAAAACAATCTGACTCCATGGTAATAAAAAGAAAAACCGAAAAAAAAAAACATAATATACATACACAATAATATCAGATGTCGGGTACCTCGATGGTGTATATAAAGTTGATATCCCAGATATTAACTTTCTAAACTTACATGATATATATATATATATCAAAAAGTAGAATAAAAAAAAAAGAGAACACCGATGAAAATTCAAAGACGGAAAGTCCCTTATCAAATAGCAAAATCAAAAGTTCAAACACAACAAACGAATGGAAAACAAATGTAATAATCCTAACTTGCTACAGGCATTTCCTTATGTTGAAAATGGTGGATTGAACCTGGTTTTATAGCCAGCTAACCCTCTCACTTGTATGATAGCCACATATAATTCCATTATATTTACAACAATCTGTTATCACAACAAACAATTTCAAAGGAAATTTCGGCTTGATAAAGCTAAGTCTGAAGGTCAATACATTTTAGAATAAAACTGCATTGGTGCAAGCTGGAAAACTTTAAACAAAAATTTACGACAAAAATAACGATATCTTTTCTGCCATGACAATATCTCCAATTTTAGAGATGGAGACTTCCCAATACTGAATCCTATAATAGATATAAGAAGATGTGGTATGAGTGCCAATGAGACAACTCTCCATCCAATTCAAAATTTATAAAATGTTTACGTTTCACACTTGTATAGTTTGCTAAAATGTTTTCTAAAGGAGCTGATATCAATGAGCATTAACACAATAGTAACTTAAGATGGTTAAAAACTCATCAAAGATACCAGGCGTATGATTAAGTACTTTTAAGAAGAGATATCACATATATTTGAATACTTTCAAAACAAATTCTGCTTCAAGTAGTAGTTTTAAGGTGTTGTTTTTGTTTCAATGTGTGGTCATCCTGTTGGTAGCAGTACTGTGAAGGTTTATTGTGTTTTTTACGTTTACGTCATATAGATATGCGAAGTGTAAGTTTTGTGTGCACGGTAAACTGTTTTACCCCATCACATGTGCGTGTACCAAGTGAGACTTATTGACTATGTTGTTCGTCGTTTTCCTGTCTATTTTCTTGACGCGCTCGAAGGTCTGCGGGTGATTGAGCCTGGTTCTATTGTCCAATATTTTTTTTCAAATTTCTGTTCTCATTTTAACGTTCATAATCATTATATTCAGGTGGGTGAACGGATAAATTGATTTTTAATGTCCAGAGCATGTTAAGGGCATAAGAATATGGACACTGCTTTGCACTTTACTGACACGCTGCGCGAAAGTCCACACAAAGACCTGTGACTTTTGCTGAACACAAAATACTGACTCCTAAATAATAATCTCTATAAATTAGAGAAGCAGCAAATATCAATGCTCAAGTCTTTGGGTTTAACCACAACCACGAAACTACCGAGACTATTCTAAGAAGAGATCAAATTAAAATTCATTCCAATAGGTAAAGTGAGGTCAAGCGAGATGAAAGCCAATGCACTTTAAATTTCATAGTTTTTGAAAAAGGGTAGTTTTTTCTTTATAATAAATAAACTAGGGACACCTTAAGTAGTTGTTAACGGGTTTCTTAAAGTTGTAAAAAACGCGAAATACTACCTCGATACATAATTGATTAGGAATGACGATAGTTGTTAATAAAATTTCATGATACATTCTCATAAAAATAACTAACCTGAAAATCTATTCATTCTATTTATTTCTTGTCGCCACCAAGCATCTGTGATGGATGAAACAACCACGGTCAGTGTCAAAAGCATCAAAATGATGTCGTCAATAATCAAGGCAATGCATATGATCATACTGCAAATTATGTACAACTGCTTTGTCGACATTATATAAACTTCTTCAATTGCACCTGAAATAAATGATCTATATTTTTTAAACTTATTCATTTATTCTTTCTTTTTTATTTTTGTTTCTTCTATATTGTCATAACAATTAATTTCGCAATTTTGTGAAACATGGTAACCTGATACTAATTTAGCATTCTTACTACATAATAAATACCTTTTAAATTGTATTAGTGCAAAGAATTATTCTTCACTACAAATAATAAAATTTAATGATCTAATAATTAAATTGATTTATTGCATTCAAAATACATGTATTTGTTTATTGAGTTTCGATTGTACAGTCAGTCCATTGTTTACGGTTTGCCATTTAAATCTTAACAACCATATATTTAAACATACGAAAGAATATGCTTTGAAGCGCCTCGTGGAATTTTGTCATATATAAACACGTGTTCCCGCTCAATTTTCATTCAATGATTATTTCTCAACAGAATTGCACAAGGATAGGACCAGAGCGTAAATAAGATAAGTTGGTTAAGTGTATCCGTTATACTTTAGATATGATTCCTTTTATTCATTTGAATTCACTATAATAATTTGATTTATATTTAAAGAGCAAACCTTTTTTTACCTGTGAGTTGAAATTCTGTGACGATAAAGTAAAACGGGTAACTTTAAATTTAACACGTGTTCGCAGGTGTTCGTATAATTATATGTTTCTCGTCACGTTCATTATTAAATTATTGAATTGTTTAATGTCACTTGAATAAGATTTATATATATATATATATATATGTGCTTATTAATTACCATTCTATTTCATTTACTTATGGTTGTTGCATTTAATTCACAGTTCTTTAACAAGGTATTTTTATCGGTAAGTTTTTGTTTTTATTTTACCATAGTAGCAATAAATATTCTCATGAATAATTAGCTATGGAATCCTTGTGGCTTGCTGACAAATATACGCTTAGTTACATTATTTTAATCTACGTTCTTTACCTGCATATAATGCAGGTACTAAATTGACACTGAAATACCGGTTATTCAAGTTACGGAAGGCCCGATTATTACAAATGTGACGGCATTTATTTAATTATAAATACAACTGCTGTTTAGTTTGCTGCATGTTATTGTGCATATAAAGCTTTCTTTGAATTTGATTCAATAAATTGACACTGATATTATACCTGTAATCATGTTATGGAACGCACGATTATTACAAATGTAATGGCATTTACAACTGCCGTTCAAATAACTGCTGGTTATTATACACTTATAGATGTCTTAAGAGGCGTACATTATATACACATTTATAATAGTATATATTTTAGGTACGGAGCATTTTATCTATATGCAGCCGAGGCATCAATGTTATGTTTCATAAATTAAAACATTTTTATATATCTATAAAAACAATATACTTATAATGACTTCATTTTATAAAAGAATAGAAGAAATGAAGTAAGCCGGAGATTAAGACCAAGGGTAAACAACGTTGAGGTTCAACGACCTGCTCCTCGTGAAGCACCAGCACCAGAACAGGTACCCGTCCCTGAGGAAGTTGTCCGAGTGGTGAACAGAGGAAGACACGGAAAAAGGCGTGCAGCGCCCGAGCTTCAACAAGCAGATCAACCTCAGAAACAACTGAAAACTATGGCAGTTCAGGCTCAACCGGGTAATACTTTAAATACTACTGTCCTTTGTTTATACCATGTTCTAATGAAATTGACATAATTATTTCTCAGCAAATAATAGAGAAAATTCGGAATTGTAAAAATGTTGATTTTGGTACTCTTCTTAAACAAAATAGTCAATATTATAGTAGTTTGGACCAGAAACAAAGTGTTACTGTTAAAAATGGAATGCTTGTCAATTAACCTTCAAAGGACAATACAATAAATAACATTGAATTATGGACTGAAGCATTTGCAATTTTTTTTCTAAAATACTTCTTCAAAAACATGCTAGCTTAGCACAACTTGTTTACATACATGTTAATTATAAGAGATTTTAGATCAGATGCACCTTTTGACAGAGTTTACCCGTATGATAGAAAATTTAGATTAAGTGTATCACTAAAACACTCCAAATCTTTGTCTGAGATTGATGGCTTTCTTTGGTTGAAATTCATTGTAAAGGGATCGCAAGGCACACCTAATCCTGTAGTCTGCCAGGCTAACTTACAAAGACCTTGTTATGATTATAACTTTAA